GTTGGCATAGGATTTTTCCATTGGCTTTTGGATATTTGCTTAATTACTATAATCTCTGTGACCAAAAAAAGTTTTTAATTTTTGCATGTATAGGCAATCTTCACAAATGAACATCAAGTGTTTTGATTTTTTTGAAAGTAAAAATAAGCACCATAAGTAAAAAAAAAAAGGTTAAGGCCCTGATATATTTCAAGCGAAATCGAAGAATGAACTGATATGACATAATTTCGAACAAAATGTGGCCAGGAAATCTTTTCTGGTTCATTTGGCCTCAAATTGCTTACTGTTTTCTCAATTTTGAGGAAAGCGCACAGCTCTAAACACCACTCTCATCTGTGTGGGCGCGTCAGATGTTCACTAAAAGTATCTCGTTTTACCATTAAAGGTGCAATGTGTAAAAAAGTTAAGTATCTATTAACAGAAATGCAATATGACATCCATAACTATGTTTTCAGTGGTGTATAAAGAACTTACTTAATTAACCGTAATGTTTTTATTACCTTAGAATGAGACATTAATAGCTCCATAACCGCGGGAATCCCCTTCTATGAAGGTCGCCATGTTGTGACGTCATATTCCTACCGTAGCCGAACGCGAACAAACAGCGCTACAGAACGCGTTTCATCACTACCTTGAAAGAGAAGTAGCGGAAAGCTAGAAGCTAGCCTTACACTCCGTGAGTAGTGACTTTTCCCTTGTGAGTGGTGTAAAATATGTAGTTGGGATTGTTTCATGTAACTTAGTTCTCCCTCGCTGTGTTATGGGTTTGTTATGTTGGGGATAGATGTGCTGTTACGTTCGTGAGACAGCTGATGATTAGTATTCATGTCATTGACCGTAAAACAGTACGTTACAGGAATCACTAACCCGTCGATAGAGACTTTTAGATCACTAAAGTCGATCACGAAGAGTTTTCAAAATCAGAGAAAAAAGCCTATTGTGTGTAGTAAATAGTATCTATGGGATGCGGAGATGACATGATTGTAACAGCGCGCGCACTTCCGACCTTTGGACTCATGCGATGCCGACGCGTCCCAGCTCAGCCACAGTAACAGCTCATATTAGCCAGCTAAACTATTACTACCCTGTTAGAAAAAATATATAGCTGCTCCCTCGCTGTATTATGGGTTTGCTACAGTATGTGTGGAGAAATGTGCTGCTGGTTACGTTTGTGAGACAATCAGCTGATTACTATTATTATATTAAATTATATATTAAAACCCTTGATCCTCACCTGACTATGGCTTTGTAAACAGTATCCATGATGTGGTTTATAATGGACTGTGGTACAGAAACAGTGACAATGTTACACACTCTTGGCTTACTCTGGCTATTCTCTGCTGTCTCAGCCGACGAGATGTTTGTCCCGTTTTAGCAACCGTAGCTTCTTCGAAAGGGAGGGGTGAGCAGTGGGCTGAGCCCTTAGTGCAAACCTGGTGCAAACTCGCAACCGAACCACTAGATGTCGCTAAAAATCACACATTGCTCCTTTAAGCAAAGAACGAAGAAGAACTTCGCCATGAGTATATTTGGTCCTTTAGACTATAAATAAACTACATCAATCACTAAATTTCCAACAAATATTTTAATTTTTATGTAAAATCTGAAAGTTTGAGTTAAGAGAATTTGCAAGAGTGTGATTATAAATACGAGGCTATAAAATTTATCTAGTGTTTAGATGAATTTTTGGTGTGATGAAGTTTCATGTCCCCGACAACCTCTGTCGTCCAATTTAGCCACTTGCTAGCAACCGCTTTTTCAAATAATGAATGGAGTATTACAAAAGTTTTTTGTGTCATATATATATATATATATATAAAATAGATTAGATAGATAAGATCTGTGGAAAACACAAGCTCAAGATATTTTGAGACATTTAACCAAAAACAGCTTGACAATAGAACCAGAAGTGCAAAAATGCTAGCTAACCTTTTAGGGTTCATTACTGTAGCAATCTATTGCACAAGCATTTGTTTTTAGTTGGTGTTGGTGTTTGTTGGTCAGCTAGTTTTAAATGATTTTTGTTTTGTTCGTTGTCTTAGAGCATTTCTAGATTCACAGGTTTACATTCTTATTAAATTTATGCTTTGTTTTGTTTTCCCACTTCTTTGTTTCTCAATGTCTCTCGTTTCAGTCACAATGTCAGTGGCGCCAACCTCCAGGCAAAGAGATCTATCGCAGAAACAATATCTCAGTATACGAAGTTGATGGGAAGGACCACAAGGTGAGCCAAATGAACGACGCCTAGCACTTACATTTAACATGAAACAGAAACTAATCATTTCATGATAAATAGATTTCAAACCTGGAGAAGACTTTGTAAATCTAAATGGAATTATTACATTGCTAATACATGTGCATGTCCATGTGCAGTTGAATTTGCCATAGTTTCTGTCGTTCTCATTGTCCTTCTCGCTGTAGATCTACTGTCAGAATCTGTGTCTCCTGGCAAAGCTGTTTTTGGATCATAAAACACTTTACTTTGATGTGGAGCCGTTCATCTTCTACATCCTCACTGAAGTCAACAAACAGGGAGCACATATTGTGGGTTACTTCTCTAAGGTAAAGTGTTTCTACTGTTAGTTTTTGACATATGTCAGTTGAGTTTATGCAGTTTAGCTGTTAATTTGTATCTTATTTAACACGCTTTTTCGATGTATGTTTTCATGAGCAGGAGAAAGAGTCTCCAGATGGGAACAATGTAGCTTGTATTCTCACTCTTCCTCCATACCAGCGAAGAGGATATGGAAAATTTCTAATTGCATTTAGTAAGTTTCACCCCTGATTCAATTGCCTCTGAAATAAGCACTTTTATAGATGAATAACTGTTCTTTGCGTCATAATTCTTCTCAGGTTATGAGCTATCTAAGCTGGAGAGTACGGTGGGGTCTCCAGAGAAACCTCTTTCAGACTTGGGGAAGTTGAGTTATAGGAGTTACTGGTCATGGGTACTACTAGAGATTCTGCGAGACTTCAGAGGGACTCTGTCCATCAAAGACCTCAGGTACACGTCCAGTCCCAAATACAAGTATAAATCTGCATGAAAAAAATAAATAATACCTGAGGTTATATGGCCATTATTTGTATACCTCTACAATTCAGACAAAGATTTAAAAAAAGGAAAATGCTGCAAGATATATTGGCTTCTAATGCTTTGATAAAGAGCACTAACTTATGCATACTGTCTGTACCCATAGTCAGATGACAAGTATCACTCAGAGTGACATCATCAGCACACTACAGTCTCTTAACATGGTCAAGTACTGGAAAGGTCAGCATGTCATCTGTGTCACACCCAAACTTGTAGAGGAACATCTCAAAAGTGCTCAGTACAAGAAACCCCCAATAACAGGTAACGGATCTGAAAAATGTGCAAATGTGCTTCTTATTCTGTCTTTACAGATGTGATGTTGTGTATTTATGAGTTGAAACGATTAAACATTTTACATTTTGTGTTTTTACAGTGGACACACATTGTTTGAAATGGGCACCTCCTAAACACAAGCAGGCCAAGTTCTCTAAAAAATGAGGAGAGTGAGACTGTCCCTTCATCCCAAATGTTTTTTCACAGCTAACATTAAATGTCATGTAGAAATACTCTCTCCAAGAGGGAAAGGTCTAAGATTGTACATTCGCATTGTATTGAGTCTGTTATTTTTTTTAAATAAATGAATAGTAATATTCATGTAATTGTTTTTGAACGTTCTTTTTCAAGTCAACATTTTAGTGCATCGGTACTTCAGATCACATATGTTCTTTGAGGTGGTTTAACATTTATACCAGACTCCTCTCCTTCTTGTTCAAATGGCAAAAGCACTATGTTGAAGCACTATAAGTCAAGCAACATAATGTTGAATTATTCATTAGACAGTATAGAATTACCTATTGCATATGCAGCTCTTGTCTGGCTTTTAGGTGAAAGTTGATCCATATATAGACTGTATGTCTATATATATATATATACACACGTATTTATGAATATGATAAAGCGGGTGCTTTAAATGCTTGAAATGTAGAAGAAAGGCCCTTTAAAATCTTTAAGGGATTTTTATACCACTGATATATAGTTAATAGCTAACTGTTTTCTATTTTTTTTTTATAAAAAAGTAAATTATTTGATGAAGCATTTTGTGTTCTTACTGAAATGGTAGCTGTGGATAAAGAGTGGCATATATTTAAAGGTAACCGTGGTGGTTTATAACCAAATTTATTATGGCTACTTTTCAAGTAATATGCCGCAAACTTTGAATTTATGGTATTTAAAATGCCTCTATCGCTGGAATCAATAGCGCCTAAACATATTATTGTGTGGCTTGAAAAAAGATAAAAGTAAATTGAACTGGAAGTCTGCGTTTTAAAAACTTAAAATGTTCTACACGAACGGCAGGAATTCTGCTCTCCTCCACTGTGTGAATCTTCTTTATGGCGAGAACAACGGGCTCATTATTTGGGAGGAGATTGAGACCGCGCGTTGTGATTGGATGCTGGCAGCAGGTAGAGTCGCACAGGTACATTCATACATTCTCTGGCAAATGAACATTTCTGCGTTTTCGCTCGGTTATCTATTCTTACATTTTGATTACATCGAAATCTTTGTTCTCAAATGTTATGCGAATTATTGTTTGAAGATAGGCTACGAATATGTAAAACGAGGCATCGCAAATCTGTGGCTTGTCGCGATTAAAGTCATCGTGTTTTCGGGGTTAAATCGTTGTTTTCTTTTTTCCCTGAAAATTAAGTTTTCATAGCCTTTTTTGTTGTTTGCGCGCTTTATCCGCTTTTGGGATATCCCCGATACATTGAACATTCATTTAGCCTACAAGTAAGTTTTTGGACTTAACTATTGATAACAATGTTGATTGTTTTTTGTTATTTTTTTTTAGAGCCCAAGGGTCACTCCTAGGGCAAATTATTATAGCTTAATCTTTAAAACACGTATTGTTCATAGATACTCTGCCAAGTGAACAGAAAATGACTGATTCGTGCTTGCAGCTGCTCCTTGTCTTGATGGCAACAGGTAAGTCTTTTTTATGGTGTAGTGATTGTCTTATTGGATTCACTGCATTCGTTAAATTCATTATTTGTCTTTTTGTGTCCTATAAAATATAGGGCTGTCAACGTGTGTGGCACAAGGTAATTGTTTTTCAGTTTCTGGGTAAGTGACAGTGTGTCTGAGATTATAGAGAAATCGTATAGGAATATAGGATGTTCTTCATATAAGAATATATGAAGAACATGGTCTGAATGTAGTAATAAAATACTTGATCATGTTAAAAAACAAAATTAAGGCTACCCCATTTGATTTGAACAAAGCATAACTTTCTACTAAAAGACCAAAATATTTAATATTATAAATCATGATCTTCTGGGTCTATATGGGTCTTCTAGTTATATTTTCTTGTCACATGATCACAAAAGTGTCCTTACTACCTTTTTTTTTTAATAATAATTTAAAACAAATTGATTTATTGCTAATTTTTACATTTAATTTTCTAGGCTAATATGCTAAACAACATTTCTTTTTAATTTACATTTATGCATTTGACAGATGTTTTATCCAAAATTTTGAAACATTACATATCAAATTGTCTTTGGATTCAGAAATACATTTTTATTTACAACCCCAAATCAGAAAAGTTGGGACATTTTGTACAAATTCAATAAAATCAAGAATCTGTGACTGTGATGTGTTCATTCATTAACTGACAAAAGTACAAAAAAATGTTTTCCAATGTTTTCACTGACCAAAATAATTGTATTTTGTAAATATGAATAAATTTTGATTTGTTCATATTTACTTTTGTATAGGCTACTTTTGTCAGTTAAAAAATAAGGTTAACAAATAACAGATTCTTAATTTTATTGCATTACAAAATGTCCCAACTTTTTCCTGATTTGGGGTTGTATTTTTGAATGGCTTAATAGATCATTCTAAGCAGTTTCTCCTCCCTCTCTCTTTAAATGTGTAACCTTACCTGCAACAGCTTTTACTCGCGTCTCATGCCTCTGTTTGTGTGACTCCTTATTAGTGAGATGTAATGATACTCTAGGGGAGATAGGGCAGGTGTGAACTGGTAAGAAAACCTCCACTGTGTATGTACACTAAATCTCCTCTGACCTGTTCACGTAAGTCTGCGGCAGACCTCCGCTAGGTAAACGCATTGTGGGAGGAGTTGAAGCATCAGCAGGTGCATGGCCATGGCAAGTGGACATTCAGATGGGAGCCAACGGTCATGTTTGCGGTGGATCCATAATTGCAAAAAATTGGGTCCTCTCTGCTGCACACTGCTTTCCCAAGTAAGTATTTTTATAGTATTGTCAATACCCGTGTTGATTATAGAGAAGTTAATGTTCTCTATATCTGCTACCCTCAGCCCCTCAGAAGTGTCTTCTTATCGCCTGTACATGGGACGCCATCTTGTTAATGGCTATAACCAGTTTGAGGTGGTCAGTCAGGTGCAGCGGGTGGTTCTTCCAGAAGGATACTCAAGTCCTCAGGAGGGCAGAGATGTAGCCTTAGTGCAGCTGCGCTCTCCGGTCACCTGGTCAGACAGGATTCAACCTGTGTGTCTGCCATATGCTGGCTTCCATTTCAACAGTGGAACATTATGCTACGTTACAGGCTGGGGACACACTCAAGAGGGTGGTAAGTGCATCAACAAGAAAATAAGGGGTAACCATAGAAAATAACAGAGATTTTACTCTTTAAACATGTGGCAAATGTTTTCTGGATGTGATGTTTCCTTGGGAACGACATTTCAGGAGTGGTAGATACAGTGGACAAAGTGAAGTCAGAAGAAGCAATCATAGACATTTAACTAATGGCTTAGTTGGGAAAATATGCAGCAGCATTGAGTTAGCCAAGAAATGTGAGTGGTAAAGGAGGATAAAAAAGTGGATGGATTTACTTAATGCTAACAAACTTCTTAACAGATTCGTGATAACTGTTTTTTGCACACATTCCACAACACATCAGTGTTGACACTTTGCAGGCATGTTCATGACCCTAAATGAGAAAGTCACAACATTTCATGACGTGAGTATTTCTGACAACCTAAAATGGAAATTGAGCCGCGATATGAGATCAAAGAGATTTTTTTTCATTGTCCTGCAATATGAGAAACAGTTTCCTTATGTCTTTTATCAAGCATTCATGCAAAGTAGCCATTGTCGCTGCTGTATGAAAAAGACAAATGATAGATACGAGATAAGACTGCTTTGTGTCAGTAACAAATTTATGTGTGATGTAGCTGCCTAACAAAAACAAAGCATGTCTGGACAAAGAATTACAGATATTACACTTCTACACCCATTGCACGTTATGTCTGTTACAATAATAATAACAACAATAATTTCCATTTTGTAAATTGAAGAGTTCAGATGCAAAAGCCTCTAAATGCCATTTGAAATTTGCTTCTTTAATGATGATTTTTATCAAACTTGTATATTTAAGTTCAGTAATTTCACTTAAATAACAATTAATAGGTAATTATCATTGCCATTAAAGTGAAATCACTGAACTTAAATATACAAGCTTGATAAAAATGATCATTCTAGAAGAAAATTTCAAATGGCACTTAGAGGCTTTTGCATCTGAACTCTTCAATTGCTTTCCCTGTCTTGTCAAATAGTCTCCCTCACTGGAGTTGGAGCGCTACGGGAAGTGGAAGTGCCCATTATCGACCAGTCTTCCTGCCAATCAATGTATCATATTTTGTCATCTGATTTAGTAACAGTTGACGTCCTATCAGACATGATCTGTGCTGGATATATGGAGGGAGGCAAGGATTCCTGTCAGGTATGTTACTACTATTATGCTGCTGATGCACTGACATCCTAGCATTTAAATAACATAATTTTTTCTCTTTCAGGGGGACTCTGGAGGGCCTCTGGTTTGTCCTGTTGGCAATGGGACGTGGATTCAGGCAGGAGTTGTGAGTTTTGGACTTGGGTGTGCTCAGAAGAACCGACCAGGTATCTACTCCAGAGTCTCAAGCTTTGCGAGCCTCATCCGCACCACAGTTCCAGAAGCTCCCTTTTTTGGTCATGCCTGGAGGAGTGAAAGTCAAACAACTCTGGTTCTAGGCCTCTCTATTGCATTAGTAGTCTTTTGGTGATTGTAGATGCAATGTACAAGTTATACACAGTCTTACATTTTTAAACACCACCAGTTTTGTCTGTGGGGCATTGATTTGCTATGATTTTGAATGCTGTTGTGGTGCAAAAATGTAATCAATGCAAAGAGGTGTTGCAGATTAATTTTTAATAATGTAATATGCACCATGTTTATATAGTTGATATATACTGTTGTTATTGTGTATTAGATATATTTTATGCAATTGCAGTAATTGTCACCAAGATCTCAAAACATTTTAAAATGCCAATATCCTACATAGGATAAATTCAGTATGATTTTGTATTTCTTGTTCTGAATATTTGTAATAAAAAATCAAATTGATTTGACTGTATAAGGCATATTATTGCACATTACAAATACTGCTTTCACTCATTCATTCTATACCATGTTGTAACAACTTTTATAATTTTAGAATTTATATTAAATTAGTATGTCACCTGTGTTTTCTATTTTGCTTGTTCTTTATTTTTTAATGATTTTCACTTAATAGTCATTGCAAAGCAATTTGATCTTGATTTTTTTTTTCATACATTATACACTTTTAAAGATGGTTCATCCAAAAATGTTATCATGTATTCATCCTCATGTTGTTCCAAACCTGAATGAGTTTTTTCTGTTGAACACAATAGAAGACATTTTGAAGAATGTTGGTAACCAGACAGTTTGACGGCACCCATCAACCTCTGTATTTTTCATATTATGAATGACATTGGGTACCGTCAACTGTCTGGTTACCAACATTCTTCAAAATATCTTCTTTTGTGCTCAGCAGAAGAAAGAAACTCTTTTAGTGTAGGTTTTAAAAGGTTTTAAATTGCATGTGTTTGCTGCATAACTGACTGTAGTGTGTAAATATTTTGTAAGTCATTCCTGGGATTCTGTAATATTTCAACTTGGATTTTTGTTTTACAAGTTAATTTCATTATTATTATTTTTACTTATAATTAATGTTCTAAATACCCCATGTCATTAGGCACATATCAAATTATATTTTTAATTCTCTTTTCTGGTCAACATTATTTACATGCACAACTCTGTCTTTGCTGTTGCTGCCATTTCGACATTTCTGACATGCTTTTTAAGTAGACACAATACATCATTCAATTATTATGTTTATAACAAAATAACTGAGTAATGAATTTGGTAAGAATGAATGAAGTGCCTCAGTGACAACATGCTTAGTAGCTATACAGATATAAGACATTATTTTACGATAAAAATAATTTAAATTCAATATTTTGTAATCATTATAATGAACATACCAAAGTATGTACATTATAAATCATTTTGGTGAAATATTGCCGAATCTCAGAAATGATCCTGCGCCGCCTGGAGGTTCATTCCTCATACCGACACAATAGCGTCACTACTCGTCATCAGTCTCACTTACTCTCCGCAGTTGGTATTGACAACCAAAGGTGACTGAGCTCAAATTGGGCTTCTGCATCAGCTTCTAAAAGGATTTCAAGCGCTGTCATGGCGTCAAATGGTAAGATAGGTCAACGTATGTATTAGGCGTATTATTATCATTGGTCTTATTATTATACCGTTAATCGCTAACGTTTTGACGAAACCTAGTATCTAATGCAAAAGTTTATTTTCATTTTTATCGTTCACTCACAAATGGCGAAGTGATGTAATTTATGCGTTACAGAAGCAATGAACCCATTTGGAGCATGCATTTTTTATTTGTGAAAAGGTGAAATGTAGAACATGTCGGCATCCGCCATTTTGTTTGCAGCTCTTTAAATTTGAGCTGGTTTGTTCTATTACTGACCTAATTTTACCTGAGCCCATACTGAATATTTTTTCGATTTAAATTCAGTTTGATCTTTACATTCAGGCATCCTGTACATCACACTGGTAGCGACAAAAATGTAACGCCCCCATTACGATTAACGTTACAGAACTGTGTGAGCGTAAAGGCTCATTTATTAAAACCAAACGGGAGCTTGTCGAGTTGTGTAGTTAGGAAAATGTCACGATTCTAAAATAATTATATTACATAATGTTCGTTGGTGGATGAACTATCCCCAGACTGGTACTCTATCTTCCCAAAGACAATGCAGTCTTTTGATCAGATGCAGATTCATGATCTTGCCAGTATTTATACATTACTAAAAAACAAAAAACAAATAAACACCATGTATAATGTACATTGTCTTTTCCCTTTAGATTATGCTCAGACCTCAAGCCATGGGTAAGTTAAATGCATAATTTCCAAAGTCTTATTGTAAAATTGCATTTATCATAAGACTTCTCACATTATCATTGAAATAATACATTTATTTTGTTTTGCCCAGTTATGGTGTCTATGGAGGACAGTCCAACCAGAGTTACAGTCAACCCCCTGGCCAAAACTACAGCCAGCAGAGTTTAGGAGGATACAGCCAAAACTCAGAGAGCAGCTCTGCTCCTTATAATCAGAGTGGATACGGCTCCAATTATGGACAGTCCCAGTCAGGTATACTGCCAATGCTGTGAAAGTTAAAGTCAACATGAAATCAAAATGAACAATTCTCTTTTTCTTATGGAATAATGCAGTATTTAATATAAATGGTGTATAAGTTTTCATGTTACCTCGTATTCTTTCAATAACTTCACATACCAATTGCAACAACTTCTTTTTAAATGAAGTTTCAGGGTTGCCAGGTGTGCCTAACAAAACCAGTCCATTGCTATTCTTGGACCAATAGAGGGTTTCCCCATGGAGAGGGTTGCTTAAACCAACAAACTCAAAATAACAACCCGCGGCAACAAGTAAAAGTAGTCCAATTGCGTGGGAAAACTACGGATTTGGCAACATTGTTGTGTTTACTGGGGCGGGGCAACCTATCACTCACATGAGATCACAGCAGTAGCAAACCACAATGAACCAATCATGCCCTTCATTTTTTTTTCTTGTTCAAGAAACAGTTTCACTCAGTATATCTGTCACAATAGGCAAGAAAAGACTATCACAACTTCCATTTCATGCCGACTTTATCTTTTTTAGGAGGATATGGGTCTCAGCCCCCCTCTCAGGCCTATACTCAATCCAGTCAGTCGTACAGCTCTGGAGGCTACAATAACAGCAGCCAGCCTCCAGCAGCTCAAAGTGGAGGATACAACCAACAGTCTTCTTACTCAGGATATAACCAGCATCAATCTGCAACTTCATCTGTCTCCAGGTGAGATTTAATTGGTGAATCTTTTTGTCAGTGTGTCTAAATTCTAAGTTTTTTTATGCCCAGAAAATGGCATTATTGATAAGAACATGTTAAACCTATTTTGTGTTTCAGTAACTATGGGAACAGCTCCCAGTCATCTGGCTATGGTCAGCAGCAGCAACAGCAGCAGGGTGGGGGTGGTTATGGTGGCAATGGGGGTCAGTCTGGAGGATATGGAAGTAGCGGAGGACAGAGCGGAGGATACGGGGGTAGCGGGGGCCAACACCAGTCCTCTCAGCATGGAGGAGGTCCTTACAACCAATCTTCTAATTACTGCTCTCCTTCACCTCAAAACTATGGGCAACAAAAGCAGCACGGACAGGGAGGTGAGCTTAAGAGATTCATTCAGCAAGTTAATAATAGAAATTTGATTTGATTCGCTATATAAGGATCTTGGTAATAGAAAATAAAGCTTTTTGGTCTCTAATTCTAAGACTAGAGAATTGGCATTTTCTATATTTAGAAACTTGTTTGCAACTTGCTTTTTTAAAAAGTGTCTCTCAATGGTCTGAATATTCATGTTTATGTTGTAGAACAAAACACGTAATTGTAACCACAGACCATATTCACTATTAAATCAAATTCTAAAAACCTATTAGAAAATCCTAGTGAATTTAGGCATCACAACATTATAATGTAAAAGTATGACAAATGGATATACAATTTTAATATTTTATTAAGATTACATTTACATTTAACAGCTCACACACTACAAGTCATTACGAACACAAACTCGCACATATATTCGCTCCTCACAAATGTGTATGACAAATGTAAACAAAAAATGTTCTAAATTTTCCTTGAATTTTTTATAATTTAAAGCGATTACAATGAAAGGCTTAAATGTTGTATTTCCAATTAAATATATTGCATTTAATTCCTAGGTTACAACCAGGATTCCCCACCAATGAGTGGTGGGGATGGAGGAGGAAGAGGCTATGGTGGTCAGGATGGCGGATATAGCCTGGATGGTAGAGGTGGACGTGGAGGTGGAGGTGGCTTTGGAGGTCGAGGAGCGAGTGGGTTTGACAGAGGTGGTCGTGGAGGACCTCGTGGCAGAGGAGGAATGGGGTAAGCAAACATGCATATCACGCACTTCTTCCATCTCCTTCACCACATAAAGTCCACATGTATGCATCAGTGTGTCATTTAGGGAAAAAATAACACCTTCAGGTAAAAAGGTAAATTAGAGCCAAAGGTGTTACACCACATCGACTGGCTGGGCTGAAAGTAAATGGTGGCCTAGACCACGGTAAACTACAGATAAAGTGTTTTGATTTGGGGTGTAAAGTTTCGGTCTACTTAAAACAGCAACATGAAAACTGAAAACAGAAAACGTGTCAAATCAGGAGCCAGAATGGTCGGGTGTATGATTTATTGGTGATCCTCATATTCATGTATTTACCTAAAATGATGCATGATGTTAAGTCGGTGCCAGTGTGCTAAATATTTCCGTGTCTACACCCTTCACAAGATGAAACCAGCCAACGGTTCACTTAATATTGAACAGAAACTAATCAGAAGTTGCAATGAATGACCAGGTGTTTTTTGTTTTTTTGCAAAAAGTTGATAATTTTACTAGTTGCCTATGGGAGTGCATCGCATCACTTTTTCCTTCACACGTCCACATTGTGACCAGGACAGGAGTTTACTATTATTATAATTCATTGCATTTTTAGGTTTTATTTACGTTTTGTTTACATATAGTGTTAGCAGTATATTACATTGATTTCATTATGATTTCCCATTTTTTCAGTAATGCTTTTGTTTTAGTATGCATTGCAATTAGTTTTAAGTAGGGATGCACCGATACTAGTAATCAGGTTGGATACAATATTCAAATGTTCTGATGCCGTTAAAAAACATGAAGCATATTGTGAATGACTATCAATGCTTTCCTAGAATTTTCAAGAATGTCAAAATTAACGTTGAGGTGTTTGACTTGTTTGGGTGGATTCATTATGTCAGATGTTTTTAATGGGCAAAAGTGAGAACATAAAGCCCCTTTCACACAGCGCGTTGATCCCGTGTAATTGCTGGCAAATTGCCAGAACGCCTTCTGTGTGAACCCAAACACGACCTGGGATTGATACCGGCATCGATGCCGGGTTGGGGACCTAGTAACTTTGCCAGAACATGCGCTGTGTGAACAAAAGCCAGGACCAATGCCGTAAGGGGTGTGTCAAATTGATGCCGCTCGTGCCATCGCGCTACTCTGTTGCTCTTAGAAGAA